GGAGGTAAGGGGAATGCGGGGCCCGGGAGGGGGCGGATTATAGTGAATGCGGGGTTCCGGGGGGGAGGGGGGTATAAATGCGGGTCCGGGGAGAGGGAATTAAGTGAATGCGGGTTACCGGGAGAGGGGATATAGTGAATGCGGGGTCCGGGGAGAGCGGATAACGGTGAATGCGGGTTCCGGGGAGAGCGGGTAATAGTGAATGCGGGGCCGGGAAGAGTCGAATATAGTGAATGCGGGGTGCGAGGAGAGCGGATATAGTGAATGCGGGGTCCGGGGAGAGCGGATATAGTGAATGCGGGGTCCGGGGAGAGCGGGTTATAGTGAATGCGGGGGCCGGGGAGAGCGGATATAGTGAATGCGGGGTCGAGGAGAGCGGATAAAGTGAATGCGGGGTCCGGGGAGAGCGGATATAGTGAATGCGGGGTCTGGGGAGAGCGGAATATAGTGAATGCGGGGGTCCGGGGAGAGCGGATATAGTGAATTGCGGGATCCGGGGAGAGCGGATATCTAGTGAATGCGGGGTCTGGGGAGAGCGGATACGGTGAAATGCGGGTTCCGGGCCGGGGAGAGCGGATGTAGTGAATGCGGGGTCCGGGGAGAGCGGATGTAGTGAATGCGGGGGCCGGGGAGAGCGGATGTAGTGAATGCGGGGGCCGGGGAGAGCGGATATAGTGAATGCGGGGGCCGGGGAGAGCGGATGTAGTGAATGCGGGGGCCGGGGAGAGCGGATATGGTGAATGCGGGGTCCGGGGAGAGCGGATATAGTGAATGCGGGGGCCGGGGAGAGCGGATGTAGTGAATGCGGGGTCCGGGGAGAGCGGATATGGTGAATGCGGGGTCCGGGGAGAGCGGATATAGTGAATGCGGGGTCCGGGAGAGCGGATGTAGTGAATGCGGGGGCCGGGAGAGCGGATATGGTGAATGCGGGGTCCGGGGAGAGCGGATATAGGTGAATGCGGGGGCCGGGGAGAGCGGAGTATAGTGAATGCGGGGTCCGGGGAGAGCGGATATGGTGAATGCGGGGTCCGGGGAGAGCGGATATAGTGAATGCGGGGTCCGGGGAGAGCGGATATGGTGAATGCGGGGTCCGGGAGAGCGGGTATAGTGAATGCGGGGTCCACACCACGCCCGGCACACGCATGCAGCAAGTAACATGAACGGTGAACTTCTCCTGTAACAAAACATTTGAATACAAAGTATTTGCGGGGAAATGTGAAGGAACGTCAGCGAATTCTCTGAGACATTTGGGGCTGTGAAGGTCCCACATTGTACATCACTTACTTGTTCTGAAGATCGAATATTCGCTGACATTCCTCCTTGTATCTCTCCTGGTGTTCGGCCACCGAGAATCGGGAACCTCGGGCGAATTTACTCATCGGCCCTTCTCCGGAGCGGGCTTGTTCCGTGGACATCGTTCTCACAACATCGATCACTTCCCACCGAGACAACTTCTTGATCTGGAAATAGAAAAACACAAAACCCGAGTTACATCGATCCTCCTATAATCCCAGGAAGGGCCGATCGCAGAGAAGGCTTCCCCACTAGTCCGGGGGGGGGGGATTCTTCCTGGAGTCAGTCACATGCCGCACTGGGCCGGCTTTGCCTGCAGTCTCAATGGACATTGATAGGATCCGCTGCATGCAATGCGACACAAAGCGAGCCGATCCGAGCCGAGCCGAGCCGAGCCTGAGACACTACAGGATGTCATTCTGCGCTCAGATTCTACCAATGTCATTTCTATCCTTCACACCCCTCCTCACAGGGCCCACAGGGCCACGCTGGGAGGAGGGGTAGCTGGGAAGACGTTCCAATCACACAATGGTCTTTAAACCCCTCTCACTGACACCAACAAAACAAAGCATAAATCCTGCTACTGGCACCAACAATGGGGCCCTATTCCCCCCACTGACACCAACGATGGGGCACTATTCCTCCCACTGACACCAATGATGGGGCACTATTCCTCCCACTGACACCAATGATGGGGCACTATTCCTCCCACTGACACCAATGATGGGACACTATTCCTCCCACTGACACCAATGATGGGGCACTATTCCTCCCACTGACACCAATGATGGGGCACTATTCCTCCCACTGACACCAATGATGGGGCACTATTCCTCCCACTGACACCAATGATGGGGCACTATTCCTCCCACTGACACCAATGATGGGGCACTATTCCTCCCACTGACACCAATGATGGGGCACTATTCCCCCCACTGACACCAATGATGGGGCACTATTCCTCCCACTGACACCAATGATGGGGCACTATTCCTCCCACTGACACCAATGATGGGGCACTATTCCTCCCACTGACACCAATGATGGGACACTATTCCTCCCACTGACACCAATGATGGGGCACTATTCCTCCCACTGACACCAATGATGGGGCACTATTCCTCCCACTGACACCAATGATGGAGCACTATTCCTCACACTGACACCAGGACAATTTTAGCTCCCAATGGCCACAGCCCAGCCCCCCTAAAGTCTGAAGGACATTAAAGTGGCCCTTTGTTTAGAAAGTTTGGAGCCCCCCGCTCTAGTCGATTACATCTGGGGCCCTTTTCCCATTTCATGCCCCCGGTATGGCAGTCCAGACTATGAAGCTACTATGTAGTCTCGTTGTACCCTCTTTTCTTTCTATAATGTACAGCCGGGGTCTCCAAAGGGCCAGTTTACTATCCTTCGGAATTTGGGGGGGGGGACCGGACTGTGGCCAATGGGAGAAGAAAATGTCCTGACATCACTTGGAAGAAACAATGCCCCATTTTTGGTGCCTTAGGAATGGATTGCGCCTCATCATTGGTGTCACTGGGCCCCATTGTTAGTGTCACTGGTAGAAATTGGGCCATGTTGTCGTCAATTGTGTCCCATTGTTGGTGTCATTGGCAAAACTGTGGCCCTTCATTGGTGTCAGTGGAGGGGATTATGCCCCGTTGTTGGTATCAGTGCCCCAAGGGCTGGATAAAAGCAAGCAAAGGGCCGCACCTGGCCCCTGCGTCGCGGATTGGAGACCCCTGATGTACAGCACTATGTCATTGTACTGCTCTCAATAAAGTTTGAGTTAAAAAACAAACAAAAAAACAAAGTTCGATGGATTTTTTCTGCCCTGCATTTGAGGCGTGTTGCACGGCAGTGGCAGTAAAGCAGACCCCTCTCCCCCCCCCCCCGTGTGCCTGAGCTCACCTCCTCCTCCGGAACCCCAAATTTCCTCAGCAGTTGTTTGGCGTTTTTCAGGGACAGTCTGCGCAGGTCCGCGTCCGTCCCGGTCACCGTCTTCTTCACCGGCTGCGGCTCTTTATCGTCTTGCTGAGAACATAAAGAAAAAACACAAAATAATCTCCTGCCGGAAAACAGCAAATTCTGGGCTGGCTCCCCACAGACAGGTGGGTGCGGACACGTGATGGACACGGGATGGACACGGGATGGGACACACGTGATCAGACGAACCTTCTGCTGAGTCGGCTTGTTGGGAATCTTGACGTAAGAGAATCCTTCCCCGCACCCTGTGGGGTCCGCGACCCCCGTCACCTCCAGCAGGCATTTCCCTTTCATGGCAGCGATGAAGGCTCTGGTGGTGTTCCAGGGAGCCGTCCTGACCTAGGAGAATGGAGGACGGTCTGTTATAGGACAGCCAGGCACATGACAATCCCTCCACGGGGCCCGGGACATAGCCAGGCACATGACGAGCCCTCTACGGGGCCCGGGACATAGCCAGGCACATGACAATCCCTCCACGGGGCCCGGGACATGGCCAGGCACATGACAATCCCTCCACGGGGCCCGGGACATGGCCAGGCACATGACGAGCCCTCTACGGGGCCCGGGACATAGCCAGGCACATGACGAGCCCTCTACGGGGCCCGGGACTTAGCCAGGCACATGACGAGCCCTCTACGGGGCCCGGGACATAGCCAGGCACATGACGAGCCCTCTACGGGGCCCGGGACATAGCCAGGCACATGACGAGCCCTCTACGGGGCCCGGGACATAGCCAGGCACATGACGAGCCCTCTAACATAGCCAGGCACATGACAAGCCCTCCACGGGGCCCGGGACTTAGCCAGGCACATGACGAGCCCTCCACGGGGCCCGGGACTTAGCCAGGCACATGACAAGCCCTCCGCGGGGCCCGGGACTTAGCCAGGCACATGACAAGCCCTCCGCGGGGCCCGGGACATAGCCAGGCACATGACAAGCCCTCCGCGGGGCCCGGACTTAGCCAGGCACATGACAAGCCCTCCGCGGGGCCCGGGACTTAGCC